TGGAGAGCTCTCTGCAGTGCAGTGTGGTGCATCCAGAACTTCAGATAAACAGTGACCCAGTTTCAGGTCAGCAATGACACTGCAGTGAGACAGGAGCTACCATTTCTCCATTCGTGTTCTGTTTACAGCCTTATGTGAATGTTTTGATGTTTTCTTGAGCTAACAAAGTACATTTGTCTTGTGTCAATAGACTGCATTTTGATATATAAATAATAGTCATTTTCTTGACATTTAATAGGTTCAGCCAGAAATTGTGCAGAGTGTCTGTGTGTGTGTGTTTTTTTTTTTTTTTGGATGAAATCTGAGCTTGTTTTAGTTTGTATTGAGGCAATGTTATTGTACATATGGGCACTAACACACGAGGAACGCAAATGGCAAATCCATGCAGCGAGTGCACAGCTGGGCTCCAATCCCTGTAGCTTATCAGTGTGTGTGTGTGTGTGTGTGTGTGTATTTGCTGCTGAGCCTGCCGTCAAGATGTGTTAGAGAAGACTGCCGAGGCTTGGTTTGTAAGGTCTGTTCTGTTTTGACTGCATAGATTGCCGTTAGTACTAGTATAATAATGGTTTAATAATGCTGTGTAGCTGTAAGTTAGGGTTATACATCCTAATTGTTTGTTTATGCACATCACATTTATAACCATTTGTCTGAAAAATATAAATACATTAGTAAGGTTATTTTGCAGCAAATATAGAAATAGGCTTCAGCCAAAACAGTATTGGAGGATCATATTTCTTTGGGTGCTTTCACGCTTGCACTTTTGGTCCGCACCTGGGTTTGTTTGACATCAGAGTATGGTATGTTTAGCTAGTGTGAATGTATCTTCTGAATTCGGGTGTGCACTCGTGAACCATACCCGAGTCCACCTAAAAGGGGTCTAGGGTACGGTTCTCGCGAACTCTGGTCCGGTTCACTTCAGGTATGAATGCAATCACACCAAATAACAGAAGTGAACTGCCAACTGTACAACAAACTATTGTTTTCATAACGTTAATTCCTGTATGTGTGTGTGTGTGTCTGTGTGTCGCAGGTTCTGCAGTCATTGCGTTATGTTCTGAACGTTAATAATATTTATATAATATTTCCTGAATCTCGATGCGTTGCATTCACCACAAATATCCGCTAAATATAAAACCTAACATTGTACACATCATCGCCAAAGAAGCTTGCCTTTACTAAGTTTAAACTAAAACTTCGGCTCATGATTGAACAGTATTGTGCTGGTGGTCATCGCTAGAATTCTGCTTTGCCCCGCTTTTATGGCTCTCACTGGCTTTTTTCACAAACACAGAGAAATGAAAATCAGAGCAAAACGAGACTAAGCGTTTACAATGACCAAACCAAAACTAAAACTGTTAAAGAGGTGCAGAAGTGAGACTTTTCTTCATTTCTTTTGTACATTCTTTTTGTTTATTAAGTTGACCAGCATATAAAACAATAGTGCAAAATAATATAATATTTTCATAAAGCAACAGTAGGACTTTTTTATAGCAGATAACTCACACATTCAAGGCAGAATGATAATGAGAAATATTATTCATTGTTAGTATTATTGTCATCTTCATCATCATTATTATTTTATAATTATTAGACATTCATTTGGAATTATTGTGCAAATATCATTAAGTCATCACAGAATTAGTTAGATAGTTGTTTCTGGTTTTTGTTAGTCCTAATTGATGTTTTCAAAAACAACCAATCTGTTAATATACAATTTGCAGTGGTACTCATTAATTTTTGTTGGGTGCCTCTAAATTTTTGTAGTTGGGAGCACCGGCAATTTCAAGCCCTGCATTTGACAAATCATTTTTTTATTTGTTCTTATTTTTATTTATTTATTGTTCTGTCATTTTTTTACAGTGTAAAATTATTTCTGTTTAAAAGTAAAAAAAAAACATTCACTTATTTTTAAGCAGGAAAGAAAGAAATAAGAGAGAAATTTACTATTGTTTGTTTTTTATATTATTGTGTGCTTTATTAAATAGTTACTGAGCAGCAATAAATAACACTGTAAATATAAGGAGTTTTCATCTTATTCTAAACTAGTGGGGTTTGAAATTAATGAATGCATAATAATCGTAATAACTTGGAAACCATGATTATTTCTCAGACTATAATCGAACAACCAAAATCTATAATCGTTGCATCCCTACTGTTCACACAACAGCAGCTCGATGACGCAAGCATACCGGGGTTCAGAAAAGAAAAAAGACCGTCCTGGCAATTGAACCAGGTGTGAAAGCACCCTTAGTCCACATGTTTAATTGGTGTTTCTCTGATAATTTTCTTTCCATAATTATATTTTAATAATTTTCTCCAGCAGATAATGACACTTTGCACACTCATTACCATGACCAATAATGAAGCTGAAGTGGCAATATGTTTAAGACAGATCATTTCTAAAGAACTTTATCATGATTTATTTACTTTATTATGACCTCAAAACATAACTTTGGCGCAAAAAAACTAATTTAATGACTCAAACTTTTTCTGTGTTTATTTTAGTTTTCCTGCGGCAAGGTGGCTCAGTGGTCAAAGAAGGTCACTGGTTCCCAGCTGGGCCAGTTGGGATTTCTGTGTGGAGTTTGCATGTTTTCCCCATGTTCACATGGTTTCCTACGGGTGCTCCGGTTTTCCCCACAGTCCAAATACATGTGATATAGGTGAATTGGGTATGCTAAATTAGTAGCGTATGAGTGTGTGAATGAGTGTGTATGGGTGTTTGACAATACTGGGTTGTGGCTGGAAGGGCATCCACTGCATAAAATATGCCAGAATAGTTAGCAGTTTTATTCCGCTGTAGCAACCCCTGATAAATAAGCTACAGAGCCGAAGGAAAATTAATGAAGCTTTCCTATTATTTTAGATTTTTGAGTACACTTTTGATGATTTATAATCAGGGCTTTACATTAACACCCGCCAACTCGTCAAATGCGGGTAGATTTCAGCTTTGGCGGGTTAGACAACCACTCCCGCCATTTTGGCAGGTTGGAAATAATTTGGTTTTCTTAAAGCAGGGTTCGACAATATAAGGATGACCCAATATGCGTGCAAATGTGATCTTAGAATCGAGAAGTAAAACAATTGTGATCACGCGAGCAGAAGAAAGCACATGAATACCAAATGAGAGGATGATGATCACTCGCGCTAACAGCTGATGTGATGCACGTGACTTCTTAAAACGCGTGCGCGTGACTGCTTAATGCGTGCGCACTCCCGAATCGTAAAGCAACCCTGTCTGGAACAGGTTCTGGAAACGCAACTGTCGGTTCTCTTTCAAATAAACTATAAAAAGTGATGAACATGCACCCACAGTCCTAATGCTTTTAAAAGCTCAAAATGTGTCTATTTGTAAGCAGCACCAGTTTCTTTCACTTTGAACAGATTATTAAATGGCCTAAAGTCGACCGCCTGCATGTTATCATTCTTTCATTATCACACACGGTATGTTTCACCTGTTTTTATTTGCTTACGGTTTTATTTGCTTTTATTTTTGTTAAAATAGTTTATTATTTTTTAATTATTTATCAATGGTTTATTAACATTGCTTTAATGGGAGATGAACTCTCATTGCAGTTAACTGGTGATCCGAGAGATCTTTAGCCACGACAGATTACTGTGCATACTTTTGATACAATATGACAATAATTATTTTTTAAAAGTCAATTACTTTTTCTTTTTTAAGAAATGTGTTTTGTTAAATAAAAAGTATAGCATAGAGCTATATTTTGCTTGTTTTGACACATAAAAAATTTGTGGCTAAGAAATAATTATTGTTTCGTGTGGTTATAGAGATAAATTTGGTAAATCGTTAATTTTGAGTTCTAAATAAGTCATGTGAATTAAAATCTAATTATAATATAACACTATAAAACCCTGACCCATTTGCTCATGCTCATTGAGTAATTAAAAGTAAATCATTAAAAGTAATTTTAGCATGTCAACGTCAAATTAATGCATATAAAATATATTATCCCAACAACAAAATTGTGGCTAGTGAAAATGCAGAGTGGCTTGTAACATTGGAAAACTACTAGCCAAAGTGGCCGGTGATTAAAAAAGTTATTATAAAGCCCTGTTTATAATGACTGATAGTCAACTTTTTTTAGGGTACAGTATAAAGTTCCAATTATGCCCCAAATTAAAACAGAGTAAAAATAAAATTAAAAATCCTAAAAAATTCATATGAAACTGAAATTGCTGCTTAAAATGGATTATGGAGTTCTTTTACACTTGTAAAAAAAAAAAAGTAGGCAGCCTGCTGCAGACCTTTGTTAGTTGACTCAACTTAAGTCAAATCAAGTGCTGTTCTTGGGATAAAAGTTGAGTCAATTTAAAAAGACTGGACAGCACAGAACTTTAATCTGCAGAACAATTTTGGCCAGAGGAGAAGCGGTTGTGCCCAACTGAGCCAGGTTACTCTTGAGGTCTTTTTTCCCTTCACTTTCGTCAATTGGTGAAGTTTGTTCCGACCACTGTTGCCACTGGCTTGCTTGATTTGGGACTTGTAGAGCTGTGCATTGATGTACAGTATTTCCTCTTCAGTGTTTGGAATTTCAGCAGTGAAATTTAAATCACACTGAACTGAACTAAAATGCTTCAACTCTGAAAACTGGACTGAAACAGTTTCAATTTACTTGAACTTTTATTTTAAGCTGCTTTGACACAATCTACATTGCATAAGTGCATTAGAAATAAACATTAACTGAATTTTAACTTTTTGTTTCAGTTTATAATCTACATGTAAATGTGCTGCCTTATGTTGTGAGTTATGATTGATTGATAGAAAATAAAGCCTAGGGTTGTCACAGAGATATTTCAGAACTCTTTTTTTCAGTGATGCTGTCATGAAATAAGCATATTTTCTGTGCGCAATCCTATTAAAAATTCATTTACAGCACCTTTAAGCTTCACAGCTGCACAGAAGGCTTCATTTCTCTGCAGAGCCTTTTGCTGTGTGATGGATTGCTTCTATAATGTTCACGGCTTCTCTTTTTTAGACCTCATTCCTGCGCACCACAGGCCGAAATGATTGGACGCTGCCTGCCTCGTTCTGTCAACTCCTAGTTCTGCTGCACCTGATTGGTCGACTGGCTGTCTGAGAGCTACTACAGTTGCCATGACTTAGAGACACTCCTGATACAGAGATGGAGAAAAAGAAAATGTGTCCCCGCCTCCTGGACTACCTGGTGGTAGTTGGAGCCAGGTAAGGAAAGCTGTTTGGTGATGTGGGTGTGTTTGTATGTGTATGGCTCTGATGTATAGCTGCTTGAGTAAACTGCTGATGAATGAAATACAGATGAATGGATTATGTGGTTTGTTTGCATGTGACCTGAGCAGGTGCTTTTCAGGGGCTTGTATTCAGGTGTACATTGTTAAATGGGTTGTGTTAAATGGGTATCATGAATAAAGTTTGTTGTAGTTTTGACAGCAGGTGACGATATGATTAATAGGAAAAGGTGGAACCTATTGGAAATATGTTTGTACAGTTTTCAGATTGACAGCAGCAGAAGGTCCAGACTCATCACAGGTTGCGTTTACCAAAGACTGCCAATGTAAAACAGCTTTAGTTTTCACAAGACTATGTCTTGACCTTCACTTACGTTGGAAAATCCACTGTTTATTTGATCATTCAAGTGTTTCTAATTTCTAAATTACACTACCTGACAAAAGTCTTGTCATCGATCCCAGTTGTAGGAGCAACAAATAATAACTTGACGTCTAGTTGATCATTTGGAAAAGTGTCAAAAAGTAGATTTTTCAGATGAATCATCTGTTGAACTGCATCTCAATCATCACAAATACTGCTGAAGATCTATTGGAACCCACATGGAACCAAGATTCTTACAGAAATCAGTCAAGTTTGGTGAAGGAAAAATCATGGTTTGGGGATACATTCAGTATGGGGAATATATTCTATACTGGACATTATTTCTGTTAAGTGACTATGCAAAGTCAGACCTTACTGTCCTAATTAAATAATTAAAAATCAAGGCATGATCATATTTTATTTTGGTAAAATAAGCATAATCTAGAGGCCTTTGCATTTCATAAAAGACGCATTTGATATCAATTGATCAACTAGAAGTCAAGTTATTATTTGTTGTTCCTAAAACTTAGATGGGCGACAAGACCTTTGCCACATAGTGTGTAGCAGAAATATTAGTTTCATATTAATAAACACTAAATGTTCAAAAGTCTCTCTTTCATTTTAAGGCTTTTATAAAATAAATCATATTATTACAAGTAAATACAAACTTTTTTTAAAATCTATTGTCAGATGTAATTTATTTTAATAATGGCAAACCTGAATTTTTAGCATCTACTCAATTCTTGTCGTCGCATGATTCTTTAGAAATCAGAAACCAAGGCATATTTTTTTCCACATCTAACAATTAGTTGCTTTTTTAATACTGCAAAAGTCTTTTGTTTGTTGCATTTTTACAATGTAAAATTGTTTTATTCTTAAACCTAATATAAGAAGTGCTCAGGATAAATGAGTACACCCTATTTTGAAAGTTAATATTTTTATCTATTTTTCAATAAATAAAGGTATTAAAAATACAAACTTCCAACAAAAATGTTTTTTCTTCTTGAATTTTGCTCTAAAAAAAACGTATTAAATATTTTTTCCTAACATAAATTTTGCTACAAATTTTTGGTTACTGAAGGTATTTTGTTAGATTAGCTCCAGATTTGCTTCAGTACTTATCTAATTTAATTGTATGTACAAATATAATATTGTAAAGCATCCTATTGAAAATATCCTATTGAACATATCGCAGTGAATGAAAATATTGCAACGTGACTCCAGTATAGTACAGCCCTGCTGCATATGCATTTATGTATAATGAGACAGATTATCCTAACAGAGGTAAAAAAAAAAAAAAAAAAAAAAAAAAGAGCAACCATATTTCACAAATTGCATTTATTCTGAAGCACAGAAATAAAAACTTAAATGAGATATTTGAAAAAGAACACCAATCAAAAGAGAACAATTTCACAATCCATCCAGATATTGGTGTTAATCTGCTGGTGTCTGGAATAGCTGACAGAAGATTCCTGTCTCTCATTTAATTATTTTTCCCCTTTCTAATCAGGCAACCCAGCAATGACAGTGTGGCACAGACACCTCAGCTGTTGCGGCGTTATCCGCTGGAGGACCACAATGACTTTCCTCTGCCACCTGATGTGGTCTTCTTCTGCCAGCCTGAGGGCTGTCTGAGCATCCGTCAGCGGCGGGTCAGTCTCCGCGATGACACCTCTTTCGTCTTCACTCTCACTGACAAAGACTCGGGCATCACTCGCTATGGAATCTGTCTCAACTTCTACCGCTCTTTTCAAAAGGCCCACCATCGCCCAAGAGCTGAAGGAAAAGGTTAGCGGTCACTTTGGTGCAGTATTGTACTGCTTTAATCCATGTGTTTTGACCTAGTATTAGGATGGTGTTGTCCACTATAGTTTTGTCACCCTTATTGAACACCACAAATGAGTACATAACCTCTACCTTATATTTTCTACATACAGGAGAAAAGCCTGCTCATACAGACACTGCAGTGGAGGCCACAGAGAAATCTGACCCCTCCACTTTGACTCTTTCAGGGGAACATTCGGCGCCCCCTGCAGGAGATGGGACTTTGCTGCCAGGCGAGCCGGGTAGCAGCGGGAAGTCTCCGCGATCTAAACGCAGTGGCCGAATAGCACCACAGAACCGCAACAGCATGTTAACATCTCTGTGTATTCTGAGCCACTACCCTTTCTTCTCAACATTCAGAGAGTGTCTGTACATCCTCAAGCGCATGGTGGACTGCTGTAGTCAGCGGCTCAACCAGAGACCCGGAGCTCCCAAATCCACACAACGGTAAGAACAGCCTTTTTTTTTTCTCTCTTGTGGATTATGCAGTTATGTAACTGCACCCTGTGATTGAGCAAGATAATTCTTGTGCATGGAAGCGGTGGCTAATGAGTGCAGTGTTTTGCAATATCTGTGAGCTTCAGAGAGTGTCAAATACTGTGGTGGTGCTGCCAGAAGACGCTATCTCTTCCTCACACCATCACAACTGGCAACATTCTACCACTCTTTTTTTTTTTTGGTTGCTGTTACTATTTGCAATGCATTTTTTATGTGTGAGTCCTGGTGATGCAATGACATGGAAATTCTTGTCAGAAAAGAATTTGTCTACTGGACCCACTAGATTAGGGGTGCCTAACCCTGTTCCTTCTCTTGATCAAACCCACTTGCCTTTAATTATCACATGCTCCTTCAGATCCTACTAAAGCCTTGCTCACACTGTGCAATGTATTTTATTTTTTTCTTCCATGTCACGCTGTAAGATCTCAGCTATCATAATGTCAGACTGATCAAAAATGAAGACGTACCAAACACGGCGAAAACTCACCCAGAGTTTGACGTCATCCATCCGTGACGCTTTCACCATCCACCGTTCTAAAATGTTTCCACACAGCAAACATACACAATCTGTCGCAACAATTTTGCACAGAGCGTATCACAATAGTAAAAGCAGGAAGCTAAAAAAGAGTTTTGACATACAGATCCAGCGTGGCTTGAAGTTGTCACACAGATTACTGCATCAGATTCAGCACTCTTATTGGTTTTTGGATTGACGTTCATCGCAGTTGTTGTCACACTCCTCGAAAGTGTCTGAAATCTTCTCACACTGCCAGAACTTAAATAAAATTTTAACTGCAATAGGCATTAACCGGCTGTCCTTGAACATGTCAAACCAATTGTGACAGATTTTAGCCTAGCATTTCAGGAATCTTTTACGAGCAGGGTTTAAGTTGGATTAGTTGTGTTAGATTAGGGTTGGAGCTGAACTCTGCCGGTAAATCTTCAGGAACAGGGTTTAGCACCCCTGCGCTAGATTAATAATGTAAAATCCCCCTGTGTTTGTAATTATTAATTTTATTGCTGTTTAAATATTAACAGCTTATATGATCACACTAGCGTTTTTAGATTGACTTTACAATGTAAAAAATTAAATAGGGTGTATTTTGTTTCAGTAAATGTAGTTATTTACTGTTTACTGTAAGTTACTTAGCAACTACAATAAATATAATATAAATATAAAATAGTAGACCGCTACAGTTAGTAGGCTGGCATTCATCCACAATTGCCTATAGTCAATTGAATGGCTGTTGGATGCTGATAGATAAAGTGATATCAGGTATTAAGCAGACAGTCTACTTATACATTGATGTGAATATTGAGCATTGAGTCAACAGAAGGCCACAGCTCTGCGCTGTTTAGATTGAACTCTAATTAAACACACCTGATCAAATTATTTGCGTCCTTCGGGCATGTTTGAAACCTGCAGGTAAAACACGCCACATCTTAATCAACACCCTAGCTCCTGAGGTCATTAGCAGTAGGTTGTATGCACGTATTTGAGCACTGGTAAGGGCAGTGATGAGCTTGTTGCACTACACATTGGGACACATGAGAACATCCTCATTGTTTATCATCAAAACTGGAGTTTTAAACAACAGCAGAACTAATAATCATTTTCATAAATTATTTGTAATAAGTTTTTTTTAAGCATCTTAAGGTAAATAATTTGATTGTTTTAATATACCAACAACATTTTCACCATTAAACAAATATAAGTTTTGCTAGATATTTCCTATCCTATGTAGTATGTTTGTTCATGGCAAAAATAAATAAGTAACAGATTCTTTTTAGTCATTACATTTGATGACTTGGGTCACGTGATTCCTATTTCATGCTTCCGAACTTTGGGGAACATTAATGCACTATGGTTCCCACGATGCATTTTTGCGACTTTTCAGGGCACAAATGTTTAAGTGCACTGGAAAGATTTTGCAATTGAGACAGCACTTATACTGGCTGATGTCCTGATCAGTTCACTTAATACTGAACAAGGGTGCTAATTAAGATGCATCCTGTGTTGAAGCAGGGTTGGATCTAAACTCTGCAGGGCTGTGGCCCTCCAGGAACTCAGTTTGACACCTCTGGTGTAAAGGCAGTCATAAAAATAGTGTCACCCATATATGTATATATACATTGACACTGCACAGTAAAATGTCAATGAAAATCATTGCAGTATTGACCCAATGCAAATGTAAACAATTTGTGTGCGATATTCTTAATTTCATTAGTCACCAGTAAGATTCATACTCTTATAATTGTATCTGATCTCCATATTATTATAGTTTCTAAATTTATATGTAAATATATTTTAATGAAAAAAAAGAAACTACTTAAATTTTAATTCACTCAGTGAAATGTTTGGATCTTTAGTATTACTCATATTCTGTGGTATGTCATGATACATGTGAGAACCGACCACTTCTCTTTCCTTCTCGTTCCATTTACAGATTTGTAACCGTGTACAAAAAGTTTGGAATGTTTTAAATTTCCGAGTTCATCCTGAATGAGAATGTGCAAATACTCTTTCATGTATGAATCACCCTGGGTGTGTGCGTGTGCGCATGCATTCGTGCGTGTTAATTTTTGATACTCTCCTGGCAGCAGCAGGTAACTTGTAACTTTTAGCCAATCAGATGAGAGCTGTATTCAATATGTTCCACTCTGCACAGATTTTGCGCAGTCTGATAATCTCCAGCATTGCGAACGGAAAACAAGACGCCCAGGACTTACCCAGACTTTCACTGACTAAAAACTTAATTTCTGTTATATCTAATTAACGTAAACAGGCTGTTGTTGTGCTTTATTTTTTTCACCCGAAGATGTTTCACCTTCATGATTGTCATTTTAAGCTCATAAGACTTTAATTAATTTTCCGAACATGAATTATACTATTGTTAATTAAATATAATGTTTGTTTACATGTCAAAAAAGCCCCCAAATCAGTAATTTTTTTTCTTCAGAAGATTTTGTTTAAACCCATCAATTCATGCTCATTTGTTATTTTGATTTCTTTATTAATGATGTTGCATTTTGAAATGTGATACTGACAAATAAAAGTGACATCAGCTCTTTTGGCCCCTCAAAATTAATTTTTCTTTGTTTCTATTCAAATGCCAGCTTGCATATTACGATATTATCATTCACAAAAAAATCACACACCCCTAATTTTAAAGAGTGTGAGTTTTGGCTAAAGAGACTTTACAGTTTAAGGTCTGTTAGATTTCATTCAAATGTCGTAATTTCTATTTCTTATGGGGTGAAAATGGACAGAATTTCCATTTTGGAGTAAACAAACCTTTTTATTGCATCGCCTTTGATTAGAATGATAAATAAGATGGTGCTGATGGTTACATAAAAGGAAATCACAAGCAGAAGGATGTGACGGCCCTTGTGACGAGTGAGAAGGAAGGAAGGAGGGAGTGTGAAGACTCGTGTAGGAGTGACAGAGGCTGGGATTGTGTGAAGGAGAGAGGGGCTTGTTTTTCCTGCTGAAGGCTTGTGCTGGTGGTCTTCCCACATAGTGCTCCACACCGTTTTAACTAGCTCTCATTCATACATCACAGACTGGTAACTAAAACCTTGAGTGTCTATTGGTAAACAATCTGCAGTCGGCCCTCTGCTGCAGATCAATAGCATTGAGTGGAGGGATTTTTTATCTCTGTGATTTTCTCAGCAGTCTTTTTTTTTTTCATGCGTAACCTAGCAACCACATCCATCCACCATCAGCCACAGTCGCGTTTGCAGGCCTCAATTTGTTTGCAGTTGAATTGCCCTGCCAAGCCCCCTTTATTTGCTCGCAAGTGTGGAGAATAATTTAACCAGCACTGCAGCTTGAGTGCTTAGATCTGGAGTAGTTCATATATTCAGAAAAGATGCAATGCTTTTTTCCCCTCTTACACATTAAGATGAGTTTGGTCTAAGAGTTTGGTCTAACCGTTTATTGAGCCTTTAGCTAATTATTATTTTTTAATATTATTATTTATTAACTTTTTTATATATGTGTGTGTGTATATATATATATATATATATATATATATATATATATATATATATATATATATATATATATATATATATATATATATATATATATATATATATATGTGTGTGTGTGTGTGTGTGTGTGTGTGTGTGTGTGTGTGTGTGTGTGTGTGTGTGTGTGTGTATGTATGTACATGTCTATATAGCCACACACACATGCATATAAAAAAGTACATACATGCTTATAGTATATTAGATAGGTAGATAGGTAGCTGTTGTCTGTTCATAATTAGCTTGTGTAGGAAAAAAAAAAATACTCCTTCAAGTTCAAACCAGGGGCAGTATCTATAATGAGAACTGTTTCATTATAGTTTCAATAATAATCATTCTAGTTAGAATGGGGAAGTCAGAAGAGGAGCAATATTATAACTTTCAAAATAGTTATTTCCCAGCTGATGAATAATTCAAACTTTAATGGCCAATCAAAAACCATCCAAGAATATTTGCCATTGGTGGGCATTGTAATGGCTTTGACCTAGCATGAATGGTTTGGCTAATGGACTACATTACTTTGTGGAAGCATAGTTTATTTTTGTGCCATGCCTAAGTACACTCTAACTTACTGTTTTAATCAACACACCTACCTATTTGGCAGTCTGAAGCTTATGCCCATATGTCATTATGATGAAAACTACGAATGGAAATGACTGGCACAGCACATAAAGTTTACAGTGTGTTTGTATGCTATTAGTGACTTTGCAGTAAGCATGGCTTTAAAGGCCATTTCTGACTCAGTCATCATGTTCTCTCAGTACTGCATTGACCTTGGCTTTACCCACGTTTGTAGCCTTTTTAGCATGCACGACTCAACCTTGTAATGACAAAACACTTCATGCGTCATGCTGTTCTTAACTTGGCTTCTCTGCGTGAGAATAACCATATGCCAGAGCCAGACCAGTGGCCTGATG